CTCTGACATTTTAAAGATCGCCGGGAATTTTCACTTGCATAATCCCACTGCTATTTCTTAAAATTCGATACGATTATTTGAGTTAAGTACGGCTTATTAAGCCAAAGAATGAAATACGTAGATCTATAAATTTTAAACATTTTTAAAGGTAACAAGCATTTTAAATATTTTACAGCCACTAATTTTTAATTTATTATTTTTAAAAATATGACGATGTTTTCTTTTTATTTAATTACTGGAAAATATAAATAAATTGGGACAAAAAAATCGCGAGATCTATTATGTAATTACCATTAATACATTACAATGGAATATAGATTACATGATATTATTATATTATGTATATATATAGATATTATACTTTAAATATAGATATATTTTATAATAAATAAAGATATTATACTTTAAATATAGATTAGTTAAATAAAGATATTATACTTTAAATATAGATATATTTTAAAATTATAAAGAAATTTCTACAAATTTCTACATTTATTTATAAATTCTTTTGAACAAGTGTAAGAAACATTGTCAATACTTCAGAAATGAATCTAGCCTTTACTAACAAAAACTTTTTCCACTTTAAATGATTAAAATTTGACAGACATACGTAAACTTCTCTGATTAACATACCTGTACATACTAAATCCTTTAAGTCCCCATAACTTTTGTGATAAAAGTACTCTAGTCAACAAAATAATAAGAATCCATTACCGGTCGACCTTATATTCTTTCAACCCGAACAACCGCAAATCATTCTCGTGTCATATCGCGTCGTATGGTGCTACTCTCCTGTCGTCGATAAAAATCGTACAATCGATCTGTGCGCAACGAAGGTCAAAATGGTAACTGCAATTGATCATCCAAAGTTTAACCGCGCGTTCAACCAAAGTCGCGAGTATATCGAGAAATCTGCTAAGTGCTGCTGGTATTACCGATCCGGGGATAACGGTCGCAAACGGGTGCAAAGATTTACAATCCGGAACGTCGAAGAGACTTTAACGCGGTGAGTGCCGGAGGCCGGAACGAATCGGCAGCCACGAAAGTGGAACGATAAATCTACGAACGGGATAACTGGACGTTTAGCTGCCAGATTCTTCAAAGTGCTTAACGATTCGGCCGCGGCGTGAAATTTATCGCGAGAGCTCCATGGTTTAATCGTTTATGCATACGTTATTCATTCGTACGATGCGTTTAGACGAATGCCAGTTCAGTTTTTTTTTTTTTAACTTTGACGAAACTCCGCGCCGTACGAGCACTCACTCGTGCAAGTTGTTTGTCAAATGTTGGAAGACTGCTAGTTATGATTTTTTTACGAGGAAGCACGGGACATGTGAGGAATATAGTAATTATTGAGCGTTCGTCAAAGTTCGGCTGTAAATTGTTGAAACACTCGTTCGTATTGCATATAATTGCTCACGAAAGTATTGGAATATCTTTAGAAGTTTCTTTATGAGTATTATGTGCGCTGTATACTTTGAAGCTTTATGAATATCGTAATGAGAATTAATTATCATACACGTCGGTTCTGAATTATGGAAATTACGGAATGCGAATCAAATGTTTATCGAATTATAATTAGAATGATTTCCAAGTATCTGCGACTTTCTAATCTTTCCGTGAATCATCCACCCGTGACAATGCTCGACCGTCGATAATAATCATTAAAAGAAAACCAGTTACACCGCCTTGTTCCTCAACCAGACACAAAACTTACCCACTTAAGTTTCACCGGAATAACAATCGAAACTGTCGTGAATCGGAGCGTGAATCGGAGCGAACTTGCTTATATGTTCCACATAATCTTCGGGAAAATTCCTCGCCCGGACATCCAGCTCACTAAATGCGTGTTGTGCTGCTGCATTTTATCGAAACTTCACCGATTTTTTATCACATAAAATATTATTTATTTTGCTAGATAGATAACACTTGTTTCAAAATTTTGGAAAAAGCAGCAGTTTAATCGAACTTAGCATCTACGATAGTCTATAACAATAATAATAATAATAATAATAATAATAATAATAATAATAATA